TTTTGCATGCTGCATTAGCATAATCATATTATCATAATCCTCATTAGTCAGATAGTTTTACAACTTTATCCTGTGCTGTAATTATTATATTGATTATCAGCTCTTCATGGTAATGCAAAATAAGCTCCTAATCTGCATCCATCTTTAAATTGCACATGGGTGTAGCTGTTTTTTTTCAGGATAAAATATAGTCAAGATGCAAAAAAGCAAAAATCGCTTTTATGAGGGGTTTAAACACAACAGTGTGCAAATATAAGCAGCTTCTAATGGAAAACAAATATTAATTTTCATAATCAGACTTTACTAAAAAAAAAAGTCTGCACAAACACTTTGATTGACATTCATCCCTTGTACATGTCATCAAAGGGAAAGAAGCCCCGCCCACTATTGACCATCTCTCCCTTATTTGCATAGGACATTAGTCCCGTTTTAGAATCTGCCACTATACTGATGTAACCCCGCCGGTCCTACGCCACGCAACCTGCTCCGAGCTGGTATCGAACCAGCAACCTCCCGCATGGGAGTCAGGTGCTCTACCAAGGAGGCTAAAGACCATGGTCTCTAGCGCCTGTCACTACAGCACCTTTAGAGGTCAGAGGAGTGAGGCCATTCAAATCTACAAGCAACCGTCAGAAAAACATATTAGCCTCTAATCTTTGACCAATGTCCAAGTTTGCAATTGTGATAAGCGTAGACTGCCATATCTACAGGATAGTGTAGTGGTCAACATAAATTAAAGCGCATCAGTGTAAACGGAGCTATTGAAGACTGGAGCTCAGATTAAGGTGGGGGTCCCGGGGGTGTAAAGTCTTTAAGATATAGCGGCCCCTGTGTTGGCTCATTTGTGTTTGTCCCGCCATTATGTTAATGTCATCTCAGCCACATCTCCTAATTACAGCCACAATTACTTGTATTGAGTCCCTAAGGGCACATAAGCTGTGGAGAAATTAAAATATAGAACACACACACAGTTAGACAAAGAACAGCAGCCAAATTCCTGGGGATCAAACTGTGTTTACTATGATTCATCGCTAGTTGTTTGATTGATTTAGAAACACTTTTAATCGATTCAATTAAAATGTGACTCATGCAGCAGTGTTGCCAGATCACCTGTGGAATCAAGCATGAAGACACAAAGTACATCCGCTACTCACTGTAATTGTTTTACTGCTTGATAAATGAATAAAAAATAGTGTTTAATGAGGACAATTATACTGCATAATCATCACTGTATCATTTGTACATTTATTAGTTGTTATTGCTCAGCTCTTAAGTTATGTTGGGGGTGTTTTCATCTACTCTGGGTGATTTAGAGACTTAATTTGGCCATAACTTTCTCTGTTTCAGCAAATGGGATGATTGTGGGTGAATAAACTTATGTTGACACATATTTCGGAGAAAATCTTTTGAAGTTTTAATAAAACTCAACAACACACTCTGGGCAAATTGACTCCCCTTTCATTATGTTGGGGTCTGTTTTTGCCCCATTGACTTCTATTGTAATCACATTTTTGATTTTCAAAGCCAGTCCAGCATATAATCATGCCTTCTTGATTGTTGCTGGTTTTCCCTGTTGGGAAGAGGTAAAACGTGTCATTTTTACTGTTGATCGTCTGTTTTTACGTAAAAGCACACCCAGCGGCCTCTCGTGGATTCGCGAAAAAACAAAATCTGCAAAAATACGTACCTCCCTAGACGTGTTTCATGGTCTACAGAAACGTCCACGGGACTATGTTTTCAGAATGAGCCTGGGTTGGATACTTTCTTTCAATCACTGCAAACATTGTGAATTGATGAAGTGTGCCTCTTACGGGTGAGTGGGTAAGACAAACCACCTGTAGAAACACTCTTCTCTCTTTAAAACACCCCCTCCCTCCGTAAGGCTGATTTATACTTCTGCGTCAGGCGCATGCATATGCTACGGCGCGGCCTACGTGTGGACGCATAACCCTTGCTGTGGCCGTCGGCGTCGTTGACGTGCACCTCTCAAAAAATGTAACTAAACATTGCAACGTCGCATAGCGCAAGCTCTGTGATTGGTCGGCTTGGTATCGCTGACATGTGTGGGCGGGACCGAAAGCCTTGTGAGGCCGATGAAGCGATTGTTTACAAGTGTGGAGTCCCATGAAGGAGCTCCGGATGGAACGTTTTGATTTGTGTTTACCTCATGGTTAAAGTTGTTGCACGTCTGCCGGTTCCTGCCTCAAAGTGAGTGAGTTTGAACCACTTGAACATTAAGGTAGCGTTCAGAAAAAACAAAACACCAGCGAAGAAACTCAACACAGAAGAACATAAACTGCCAATTAGCGTTTCGGAAGTGTTATTGCAGAGCAACAGAAACAGCGCACAGAAGTATGAATGCACAGCTACGCGTGTTGCATGCGCCGTGAGTCACGCCGATCACTTGACGCAGAAGTATAAGAGTTAACTCTGGCAATTAATTAACAGTTGCTTTGCATATTTAACACTTGTTGTGTGTATCGCCTCTTCTTGTTGAATCTCTGAGTGCCTCCTTAACTGTAAGTCCAACGCAATCTCACAGCAATTCATAACTTTTTGATTTAGTCGCTAATTCGTATGAACTTGTTCAATTTAATTAATTCGTACAATTTAGTACGATTTGCTCATCACTACTAAACTGACAAAACGTAAAATACTTACGTTTTCTCATGAGATCAGGCTGCTAACTCACTCTGGACAAATTTGTCTGCTAAATGACTAAATGTAACGTAATCAGTTTTGCTCCAGTAACTGTTTATGGGCATGTGACTGTTTTCATTAGTTGTTTACGTCACAGCTAATGAACAGAGGACTGATGCGCGTCACAATAGAAGTGGCCCCACAACGTATTACTTCTAATGATGGATGCTATGTGCAACAATTACCGCTGTCACTTACCCCAATGTATAAATTTGGTCGGAAATGTTTGTAGAAGCGTCCAAACAGCGGAATGTCAGAAATCTGTAAAGATCACGACATCTTGAACAGATTGTGCTTCTATAATTACGGTTGTAAATACGCTCGCCCAATGTCTTCCAGGCTTACCGATTGTTGATATTGGAACGGGTGCGGAGAACACTTTGTGTCTTGGAGTCAAACCTGCCTGTGGACTCGAGGTGGGGGCTCCAAGGGGGCAAATAGGATGGGAATGCGGTTAGAGCTTGCTCACGCATATTACACCGGGGCATAAATCAAGACAGTGAGAGAGAAGCAAATGCATTAGACCCCCGGCGGGACGGTGTATACACTGTGTTAGAAAGGCTGGATGGATGAGGCCTACCACACCATTGAGCTGAACTCTCAGATGAATCTAAACTATAAGATTTCCTACTAAGACTGATGTATTGATGGGCTGGTACAGTTTGACAGTGTGAAGGCCCCTGGTATAACTTCTTTTTTGTTCCTTGTTTGAGGCCAAAAAGAAGATTGTAAAGGCTGAGTGGTGACTGTTTTCAAAACATGGGACACCCTGTGCTGTGGTGGGCTGGGTTGTAAATGTATCATGCAGTTTAAGGGCGTACTCACATTATGCTATCCGAACCGTGCCCAGGCCCGCTTCCCGGATCGTTTGAGATGTGTGAGTGCGCTGAATCAGGGCTCAGGCACTGTTTACTTGGCCGGCCCTGGCTCGGTTGGAAGAGGTGGGCCTGAGCGCGGTTCACTTGGGCTTTGGCGTGGTACGCTTGTGTGTGAGTGCAAAATGCGACAAAGCCCGAAACTGAAAGCTAGACGTGACTTTAAGGGGCTGTTTTATATGGATTTATTAATCATTCTTACTGTTCAGTGAACGCAAACTGCCGTAGTTTATTAAAGACGCAAACCCCTCACTGCACCACAGCTGCACCTTCAGCAGACCTCCTCATTCCTGCAGCACGAGGGCTTTATCAATTCAATTCAATTCAACTGTTTATTGACATGTGCACAGTAAGGAAACACGTCTCCCTGTACAATGAGATTCTTACTTTGCCGTCCACAGTAAAGTCATACACACAACATACACATCATACACATAAATACACATATATACACAGAAGTGACTGAAGTATGATTATAAAACGTAAGTATATAAATATCTATGAAAATGAACAATATATAAACCTGATTTGAGTAATGAAACAGATGTAAACAATGTACAGTGTTTTTTAAATATTTTTTTATTGTGCTTATTATGCAAAAAGTGCCTAGTGCAATTGGCTTATGTGCAAAAAAAAAAAAAAATAATAATAATAATAATAAAATAGTGCAAAATGGGATGGAGTATGTAGTGTTGTACTGAGCAGAAAAAGAGACTGTTATGTACGTTGGTTATCTGTTTAGAGGTCTGATAGCTGATAGGATGATTGTTTATGAGCGCTAAAACTGGCGGATCTGTTCGGTGAAATATCTGACTGCGTGTCCCCGCATCCCTAAGGACTGTTTGGCGAAATATTTGACTGCATGTCACTGCATATCAAACGACTGAAACGATATAACTAGAGAAATCTCCACTGTGCTGAGCGAGAGCGCTCACTGAACAGCGCAGCAGCCTTGACGTAAGCGTGCCCAGGCCCGATTGTATTGTGAGTGCGGGCCGTCAGGAGAGACGGGAGGGGGAACAAGCGTGCTTTGGCCTGGTTCGAGGCAACTGTACATAGTGTGAGTACGGCTCCTGAACAAGTGGACTCCTGAACACAACAACAACTAATAGTTTTCATGTGTCATCACACCATGAGGAGGAAGCCCCCATGGGGGTAAAACATTACTATCTCTCACTGACCGCCAACTCGAGGGCTGAGTAATTTCACCAATGCGCCCAAATATATTATGAGGTCGCATAGATTAATATTCGGGCGCATATGGGACCAAACTGGTCGCAATTTAGAGCCCTGCAATACCGTGATATTTCGATCCAGGGTTATCATATTGTCAGAACCTTATTCCAGCACATGCCTAGTGTGCAGGCAAGAGAAAAAGATGGAGGGGAAAAATCACTCTTATTCTGCACAAAAAGAAAGTGTTACCTTTGTTTGTCCTTCTCCTTGGCTTTATCCGTGTCTTTGTCTTTAGTTCTGTCTCGTGTCCTGTCTTTGTCCCGAGTCCTGCGCTGGCCACGGTCTCGCTCTCTGCTGCGTTTCCTGCTGGATCGTCCACTGCTGCAACTGCGAGACCTTCGGTGGCGGGATCGAGACCTTTAGGAAACACACGACCAATGCGTAATTGCTAATTAGTAGTTTCTTAAGCCATCAGTGTTCGTTTATGGGTGGTTAATGCCGCTAATTGTGACCTAAACTTAAGTGATAAGCCATAACCAACAGAAAAATATAACGTGTTAAAGATACTGTATTTAATCAAAGGTAAAACTTCATTCATTCAGTCACTTTCCTTTAGCTTAGTCCCTTATTTATCAGGGGTCGCCACAGCAGAATGGACTCCCAACTATTCCAGCATATGTTTTATTATGCAGCAGATGCCCTTCTAGCAGCAACCCAGTAATGGGAAACAAAGGTAAATGTAAATTAAATAAAAAAAACTGAATTAAATAAGTTTAAAATCACACGGCCATGACAAATCAGTGTTTTCAGGATCGATGGTTGGTGTCAATTACAAGTACTCATGCCAAACCCTATGAAGTGGCCATTAGGGAGGAGCACACTATGACTGTACACATGCTGTATTGATCCTCACGGACAGAGCAAAACTATCCATCCAAACACACACATGTGTGGGTGACTATGGTGAATAAAAGTCAAGCACTCAATTTGTGTACTTTTGCTTCATGCAATGCTATTAATGTCTTAAAAATATTATGTAATCAATGAAAAATGCACCAAAGTAGTCTCGAAAATCACTTCTTTTTCTACTAAAGCGATGATCATTTCCACCACCATGTGATTTCCCCTGCATTATTCAACAGCCTCTAATATATATAAATATAAATATATATATATATATATATATATATATATATATATAATTGATAATTATATATAAATTAATAAAATTAATAATATAATTATTTAAATAATAAATAAAATAATAATAATAATAATATTTTAATACCAATTATTATTATTACTATTTAAATAATATTTTATATTTTTTAAATTTAAAATATTATTTATATAATATTCTAAAAACTACTAATAATAATTTAATACAAATTATTACTATTGCTATTATTATTATTATTATTATTATTATTATTTTAGAATGTTTATATTTATATAAAACACTGTTACATTTTTTAATTGTATAATAATTATTTGTTCATCAATATATTTCATTTTATGATATGAATTTCTAATAACATGATAAAAATACAAACTGAATGCCAGATTCTTGAATTTGATGTTTAATTCCTTATAATGGCTTGGCACACATGCTGTCATGCAAGTTCAGGGAATAACCATCACAGTAATGATAAAACACTGTAATAATACAGTAACTACATTTTTTGATTATGCACCATTCAAATCCTATGGTTATTTGCATTATAAAGCTTTAAATTGCAATGGCAATCTTGCTTTTGTAGAACACAGATGCAACTGAAATAGTTTGCTGTACAAAAACTATAAAAATATATTATTATATAATATTTGTATTATGTAATAATTATTTTTATACACACGCACACACACACACACACGCACAAACACACACACACACACACATATATATATATATATATATATATATATATATATATATATATATATATATATATATATATATAGAAAATGCTACTACTACTACTACTACGAATAATAATAATAATAAATGTAATAATAATAATAATAAAAATAATAATAATAATTCAAATTTTAATAATGATAATAATAAATTACTATTATTATTATTATTATTAATGAAATATTTAAAGAGTAATAATAATTTAAAAAATAATAATTTAAATAATAATTTATAATGATAATTTTTAAGAAATTTAAATAATAATACGATTTTTAAAAAATTATTTAAATAACAGTAATACAAATAATACTTATTTCATATTAATTTAGTAAAATTATAATTATTATTATTAATAAGAATATTTTTAAATAATAATAAATAATAATTTTTATTTTAATAATAATAATAAATTATTATTGTTATTATTATTTTACAATAAATAATTTAAAGAATAGTAGTAATCATTTTTATAATAATAATGTAAAGAATTGTTTAAATAGAAATAATAAACATAATAAATATAAAATAATATAAATTTATTAATAATTTCCTATTCATTTAACAAAACTTATAATCAATATTAATAATAATATTATTTATATATATAAATATATTTATTAATAATTTCATATTAATTATATAAAAAATATTATTTTTATTAATATCATTTTAGAATAATAATAATAAATATAATAATAAATCAAATAATATTAATTTATTAATATTTCATATTAATTTTATCAAAAAATATCATCTTTATTAATAATATAATAATAATAATAATAATAATAATAATAATAATAATAATAGACTTCTTAACCAAAACTTCCTCTTTTTTTTGTAAATGAAACTGTTCTCAGCATTTCAGAAGCTAAAAAATTCATATTTTCATGAAAGATGCAGGCCTGGATTGAGATTTAATAACATTCCTGAAATCAGAGACCGAGTCTACAAGCAGAGATCACTATCTGCAGAAAAAAACACACAAAATCTACAGTGTTCCAGTTTTTTTTTCTGTGGTTTAATCTGATGGTTTCGCAGTTCTGGTTACACGAGAGAACACAAGAGCGGTCTTATTTTAGCAAATGTACTTGTGGCCGAGCGCACATAATAAACACCAGGCCCCGTCAGGTTTGCTCCATTTCATTTTTTTTCATCTCTTTCTCTCTTTCCGCAGCCCTGCTCACTTGTGCGCCTGTTGCAAATTAAATTTATTGTAGTTAATAGACTGTGGTGCGGCTGCTAAATGTCAATTTCATTACCAAGGCCTTTACCCTTAGAGAATTATGACCTCATTTAAGGCGATGGTGGGGGGGGGGACGTGTTAATGCGGGACGGCCAGATAAACATCCCCTGCCACAAAGCACACACACACACACACATGCGCGCGCGTCCAGCAGCATCATGCCAAGAGTGGGCTATTTTACATCACTTTCAGCTATTATCGCCGGAGGAAAGAGCCTTCCCCTATGGCCTGAAAAAATATTTTGAATTCTTTTGAAAGGTGTTTTTTTATTATTATTTCTCTCCAATCCATTAAATCTAGCAGCGACGATTGGCTGAGGCAATTTTCCCTGCAAATTATCAATAAAGTAATTACCAGTGTGTGGGAGCGCGCTGGGCGCTTATCGGCGATGCCCCCTGCCCGGCCGCGGATCTGATCCCTCCCCACAGCACCGCGTTTGGGTAATTATACGAGCGGGATGCTGTCCTGCTGTTATCTGACCATATTACATTCCCGCTAAACAAGCTTTCTTGCTTCGTATGAAATTGGATATTAATGGTGGCGAATGATAGCACTAGTGTAACTAACAGGCGTAAGATACACCACTGGAATCCTAACCTGAGAAAATGATTATTTATTCCTGCCATGGGCCTTTCTCTTGCTCTCTCCCAAATGCACACACACACACACACACATGTTCGTATTGGTGGTTTACAGACACTCTTCAAAGGTGTAATGTAATTTGTATAGTGAAAAATGGCTAATATATAGCCTAACCCTAACCCTAACATGACAAGAAACCTCGGCCATACTCTCCTTTTCAAGCTCACATGTTGCACTAAACCAATATGATAGGGTACAACCATGTTATATCCATCATATTAAACCAAATACTAACCTTATAAATGATCAAAACCAGTACACACACAGACACCTTGGTTGTGGTGGTTTAAAGGCACTCTTTATAGGCATGTCCCCGTAAACCACTGTAATAGAGTACAACTATGTCATTTCCATATTCCATATCCCCTTGTAAACCACCAAAATCCAGTACACACACACAGACATGTTGGTTGTGGTGGCTTAAAAGCACTCTTTTTAGGCGTAATGTAACTTATACAGTAAAAAGGGCGCATTGTATGGCCTAGCCCTAACCCTAACCTTAACCCTAAGTGCTTGAAGGGGCATGTCCCCATAAACCACTGTAATAGAGTACAACTCGGTCACAGCCATGTGATTAAACAAAAACAACAAAACTAGTACACACACTCACATACATGGGTATTGGTGGTTTACAGGAGCTCTTCATAGGCATACTGTGAGTTATACAGTTAATACGCTTATTATATGGCCTAGCCCTAGCCTTAACCTTAACCTTAAGTGTCTAAAAGTGGCATGACCCCATATTACACCATAATAGAGTACAAATATGTCATACTCATGATATTATACAAACACTACACACACACACACACTCACACACACACACACACACACACACACACACACACACACACACACACACACACACACACAGTTTCTTGCTTCATGAAATCGGATAATAATGGTGACAAATGATAGCACCAGTGCACGCGTAGTAAGATTAAATTAAACTTTTAATTAAAATTGCATAAAATTTAAATAAACTAAAAATAAAATAAATGTATTGTTTTTTTTATTTCATATTTTAATATATTTTTATTTATATTTTATTTTATTTATCAATGTATCAATTAACTATTTATTACACAGCTTTCAGAATATTGTGAAGTTAAATATTCAGACCAAAAATCTAACTGAATACATTACAATTACTGTAAATCATAAAGGGTTTGTTCACCCAAAAATTCAAATGTACAACTTAAAAGAAGATATTTTGAAGAATGTTGGCAGCTGGCACCCATTGACTTCCATATTATTTTCCTAATACTGTGGAAGTTGATGGCAACCAGCATTCTTTAAAATATATTCTTTTGTGTTCAGGGACAGTGAACGACGAGGTAATTTAAATTTTGGGGTGAACTATCCCTTTAAGCTGACAGTATACATGAAAAAAAAATTGTTTAATGCCATACTGTGCGTATAGTTGATTGTAAAAGACAGAAAATCAAATAAAGGTTAATGTTTGAGAAGGCCAGAAAGTTCCTGTACACCTTAAGTTTGAAAAAGTATCAACTCTGTCCTCTGCAGGTCAAGCAGAGTATACACAAACTACAGTAAGTGTGGATATCCCTTGGTCAATATGAACTTTCACTATATTTGAGGTTTACTTGC